TGCAGGGTTCAACGGAACGAGGGCAATCTCAGAGTGTAAATTCGGGTATGGGGGAGCTGCGGAGAGAAGGTATCAGATCTGGTGGTCGGCGGCATGGCGCGATCAACGACACAAACGGGTCTCGACGTGGAGAGTGTCTACTTGTGGAGTTGGCCGAACGCAGTATCCCGGAGGAGGCGGGCGGGGATGAGCTGATCAGCTGCGGTCACCTAGACAAGAACGGACGGTGGATTGTCCAGTACTTGCCATGTGGAGACGCAGAGGGTGCGATTGCCGAGGCGAGTCGGAACTACGGCTGGCTCGACGAGGACGAAGAACATGCGCGAGGTTTTGACGCGACTCGGGGGTGCGGCACAGAAAATGGTCGAGCAGATGGACTCGCGTCATTCATGTCGCAATGGATCGCTCTCGGTTAGGCAGGGTCCTCGCGGGGAGTAGGTGACCGGGGACGGTCACAATTCGAGTATGGGGGAGATGTGGGGAGTGGCCCCCACATAGGCCCGGACAGTATGTGTATTCACCTATTTTGGGCTCTCTGGACTGTCATGTTCCTTCCGAGCACATGGACTACCTTCCTTGTTCCCTCCGATACCCTACACCTTACTGTACTTCATGGACTTTGTGCGATTTGCTTTTGATTACCATATATAGTAACTAGAGACTCTTAGTCAGCTTTTGTGGCATACAGTGCCACGAAGACATGTACATACCTTAGTTCTCCCCCACTCTGAATCTACGGCTGCGAGCCAGGCTCGCACCCATTCTCATCACATTTTCTGGAGCTGAGGGCATCTCCCCGGGTTGGTCATCAGTGATCTACTCGGGCCGTCAAGAATCTTTCGGACGAACGCAGCGCCACGTAATCGGGGACAAGGACTCGCGGAACGAGTACAGGGATTTGCAGAACAAGCATAGGACCTCGCGGAACGAGCATAGGGGCCCGCGGAACGAGTATAAGGATCAGCAGGACTTGCTTAGGAGCTCGCGGAACGAGCATAGGAACTCGCGGAACGAGCATAGGAGCTCGCGGAACGAGTGTAGGAGCTCGCGGAACGAGTACAAAGGTCAGCAGGGCTAGCTTAGGAGCTCGCGGAACGAGCACAGGAACCTGCGGAACGAGGAGGGCGACCACGGAACGAGAACGAGGCGACCGCGGAACAAGTTCAGCAAGCGTAGCGACTGCAGAGCGAGAGTAAGGCACCTTCGGAACGAGGTCAAGGTCGAGACAGGACAGAGTCCAAGGAACGAGTCGGAAACAGAGGGATTTGCGAGGCTTGGAGAACCGAGGACGAGGTCAGCGAGCCTGAGGCATCGTTGTGAGATCACTCCCCGGCACGTCTCCCCTCCACTCTCATAGTACACCCCCATCCACCCATGTCACCTTTACCCCTGAAGCAACGGATCACCCCACCCCTCGAACATCATCGCGCCCGGGGGTATCCCACTCCCGAGCCACACAGCGTGAACGCACCCGACTCCAATGATCATAAACTCGGCTCCCTGCTTCGCGCTGCTGCCGGAGTGAGGCGTCAACGGCATGTACTCGGAGAAGTTCGCCCGCTCCGTGAAATAGTGGTGGCTCGCTCCCGAATCGAGGTAAGCCCGGATCGTACCGTCTGCGGTGTCCTGTGGGTCAAGCGATGTCACGCTCGCCATGAAGACGTTGTAGTTGGGGATTGAGGTAGACGTCGATGGTATGGAAGGTGATGCAGCGGCGTTGGCGGATGCGTTGGATCCCATAGGATGAGCCAAGTCAGCCGGCGACCCTTTCTTCGGTCGAGGCGGCGACTTCCAGCTCGATGGTTGTTGCCCTGCCATCCCTCCTCCTTCGCAGTAACATCGCTCCTTCGAGTGACCTTTCCACAAGCACCACTCGCAGATAAGGATTGCCTTCGCCGCCGTCATGAACGCCGAGGTCGTCGGGATCTGTGGCTCGCTCGGCACTGAGGTCTGCGTAGCTCCAAGAGGGTTCTGTGGCTGCCCTGTACGCAGCATCTCGTTGTCGTGGACCGCGAGGATAGTCAGTATAACGTCCTCGGGGTCGGACTTCGTGAGAAGCCCAGCGGTAACGTGGTTGTAGATGTCGCCCATTGACTGACATATGATGATAGCGAACCTATGATCGGTGAGAGGCGACGCCATCTCCCGACACGCCTTGCGACGACGGCGTAGTTCCTCGAAGTGCGCGTGGATGTCTGCACCAGGGACGTACTTGCACTTCTTGAGGTACTCCTCTGCGTTCAACACCGCTAACTCGCTCCGCCTCTCCTTCACCCCCAGTAACGCTTTCCAGAACTCAGCCGCCGTGAGACCAAGCGGTTCGACTCCGCAGCTTTCGATGTCCATATTGAGCGTACAAGTCGCTTTCGCGTGCAAGTCGTCCTTGGTCCATTTTGCAAGCTCTGTGGTTTCGGCGGGTGTGGGAGTGGTTCCGGCAGGCTGAGGAGCGGTCGACTTTCCGAGTAGATGATCGAGTTTGCCCTGGAGTTCGATGATGGTGAGAATTTTACTTTTCCACTGGACCCAGTTGGTCCGTGTGAGATGGAAGTTCTCCGGCAAGATTATGACCTTCTCTTTGTCGTCGGACATAGCGGATATATGCGAGATCGTGGGTGTATGCGGTTTTTCGGTGGCTATATGCGCGTGGACTACAGTCGTCCTGTCGTGGGATCGTCACGAGGCGTCGAAGTCGGGTGGTTGTACCCTTAAAGCGTTGTCGATTCGTACGACGAGGAAGCGGTTAAGAAGACGAAGCGGGGCTCATAACCTGTTAAGGTTACACAGTCTCAGTCTCGACCTCGTGGTACTCGACTTGTTATTACTCTACCTGTTAAGGTTACACAGTCTACGAAATACAGTATGAGTGCTCAAAGTCCATGAGAAAATGCTACAAACGAGCTTACCTCAGTCTCGACCTCGTGGTACTCGACTGAGGTAGCAGTACACTAAACGCGTCCGTTACAGTCCGTTCGCTAGTCACGTGTCCGCGTCACCACAAGCGCCCGCGTCACGGTCCCACCTCAATAAGACGAGTGGGCGAGAGAGGGAGACGGCAAGAGAGGGAGACGGCAAGAGAGCAAAACGGCGAGAGAGCGGGCGGGCAAGAGAGCCAGCGGACGATAGAGCGAGCAGGCGGACGATAGAGCGAGCAGGCGGACGATAGAGCGAGTGGGCAAGCAGCAAGCGAGCGGACAGGAAAGACAGCCAGATGGGCAAGCGGACGACGAGGAGAGCAGGCAAGGGAGTGGACGACGAGCAGATGGAGCAAGTGTAGAAATGCGCAGATAATTCGTCACACTCACCTTGTGGTTGACCTTGTCACATCCTGGGCTCATGCTCGTCGTGAGCCAGACTTGCACGCGGCGGGCCCATCAATGTCGGTGCCAGCAAATGCTCTTCGTGCATCGCTGACGGTCGTTGCGGCCGCGTGCCGCACACCCCGTCTCTTGGGAATAGGCCCATCTGCGTGTCCCGGAGATCTGCGGCAGGCAGGCAAGGGCGAGACGAAGGTGAAAATGGAGGAGAGGACGCTGTGGGCAGTGGACGTGAGGAAAGGCCTTGAGTCAGAGCAGCGCGAAGTCGTGTGTCGGTGCGTCGTGGCAGTTGTGGCTGCAATTGGCATTCGCCAAATTGAGCGCTTCGCACTTGCAGACGACTGGCGCGCCTCACTCTTTCGCCCGCTGGCACTCGCTCGCTCAGTCGTCTTCCCGCTTGCCCGCCTCTGCCCGCTCTGCCGTCTCCCGCTTGCTCCGTCGTTTGCCAGCATATCCGCCGATCACTCAGACGCTCATCTTGCGGCCCTCTTGTATACTCTCGCGCTCTAGCACTCGACTGTGGCGATCCCTGGTGAAACATGTGGGTCTGGGGCCACGCAACTGTGCAGCCCGGGATGCGAGACGACCGCCCGAACGTGGAAGGAACACGGGACGAGAAGGACGAGAGGAGAGCGGGAAGGGAAAGGAGAGGGAATTCTGTGGTGCGAGTGAACAGGACGAGTACGAAGGCTTGAAGTTGGAAGGTACGCTCTCACTAGGCACCCCATTCACGGCTGATTTTGCCAGTACCCGCACCAGCAGGCGATCAACGAACGGGAAGTTCGTCGTGCGCCCTGCTGGCCACGAAGACGGCACTTCCGTCACTCGGGACGATTTATACGTCGTGCCCGCTACTACAGACGGCAACTTGTCGGACGCGCATAGCTGTGCGTCTGGTATGCTCCATCCACCAACCACCGTCCACCGACAGTCGTGTAGTGCATACGTCAAACCCTTCGCCCGACTTACACGCTGCCAATGAAGATGACGATGCGTCCTGCGTACTCGCCAAAGGACCCGATGTGTAGATTAATCCCATACGTGCGCGCGACGGGACCACAGCCCATTGATTTCTTACGCCAAATCACACAATGTGCATGTTGATATCGAGCCCGCCGTTCGACAGTAGTATGTGTCTCGTGGCGTGCGCGACGCATGCTCTAGTGGGTTCATCATGACACGTCAATTCCCTGTTTTGATGCACTGATGTCTAGAGCACTACTTACAGATGGTACAATGAGCAACGAGCTCGCTGCACCTGTTGTTGGCAAACTTTCTGGGCCACTGACTGCGCGATGGCCTGGCTAATCAACCCCGCGCTGTCACGACATGCTGCGTACGAGCACTACTGGCGCGCCTTCTTGTTATTCTATGTTACCTCACTTGAGTAGAGTACTTGTTGCATGTAGTAAGTAGTTGTCATGAATAAATCAATCATTCTACGCCCACTGTTGTATGACTACAAGCATTAGCCACAACACACATAGTGTGATTGTTCGGCCATAGATGGGACGTGATATTGTATATTCCTATAGCATGTCAAGCAAAGTCATTATAGACCTACAACTTACTATAATGGTTGGCTGCTATGCTACGTGGTACTATACTGTCTATAGGGGGTATATACTGATGGCTGTGTGCTATGGCCCCGAAACTTTTTTCCTGATGCATATCTATTGTGCCATACTACATGTGAGTATTGTTGGAGACCGAATTAAAGGGAATCTTACCAGCAAGGCCATTGCGAGCTTCTAGGTTCTCGCTTTGCCGAACACGTACGAGTGCAGTGTCAAAGCGCGCCGGTATAAGTACTTCATCGTTCTGACCTATTTGACGAGGTCGCGCATGGATTGAATCGAGGGTCTCTTTGTCGTGGTACTTGACGTTGCGGAACTTGATTTTATGGAAGACCGGTAGAGTCGCAAATGGAAATCGGACCTGGAGTGCCTGAGCTTCGACGTCGTTTCGTGCCAGAGCTGGATTGTCAAACTCCACCACGAAGCGAGCAAGAGCAGCCCTAAAAAACGTCGCACCATAGCCCTGAGAAGACACGAGCTCGGCGACAGGGACCGCCTTTCGACTGGGATGCTTCGTCATGAGATGATGTAGCGGGCATGCCATATCTGGCGGCCGCCAGTGTATCTCTTGACGTGCAGCGATGAGATCACGCTGCTCACGTTGCACTCTGAGGAGACGCCATTCGACGTAGTTGGCATGCTGCAGCATCTTCTTGCGCCTCTCGAGCCACTGGGTCATTTGTGGAAATTCGTCCTTATGGTTCGTCGCGCGGTAGGCCTCTTTCGCGAAATCAATATGGAGTCGCTCAGTGGACTCTGTATTGTAATTGTCGGTCGTACCGTAGAGTTTGATCGCGCGGACGTAGTGAGTCATCATGTGAAGCTTCGGAAGGAGGAAGTTGTCCCGTATGCCAAGCCGGATGAAGACATCCTTCTTCGCATGGAACTCGGACAGTGAGCGCTCGAGTGCGACCAGAGTCGCGCCTGAGTGGACCGAGTATTGTGCCATATACACGAAGTCCAGAAGGGCTTTCGTAGCACTGAACAAGTCCGCGACTGACTCGCCACCAGGCAGCTGAACATCGACCAGAAGGCCGAGCATGAACCACGCCATCTGCTTGTGTTCAGTACATCAGCAAACTCGGCAATTTCTGAGCATCTGACAGGCTGACAGAGACCCCTCAGAGCGACTCAGTGCATCAGGTAGCTCAGCATTGTCAGATTATTCAGACCCATCAGATGAAGACACCTATTCAATTCCGATAATTGCAGTAGCCACAATATTATTGCTCGTACATCAATGGCTCGAGAGCGCTGATTGTTTCATTGTACCAAGAGTAACAATAGTGGGTAAACTACACTAAAATGTATGGTCATCGTCGACACAGTCACATCAGCAGCATAGTCTATTCTCTCTCGCATTGTCTGCTGTCTTGCCGTGTTGTCTGCCATCTCGCCGCCCGTGCCATCTGCCGACTCGCCTGCCCCGTGTACCCTCTCTCGACCCATCTGCCCCGTCTGCTCTCCCATTTGCACAGGCCGGCAGCAGCAGCCACTCGTCTGCATGCTTCTGCTTGCTGGGTTCGTCCTCGGCCAGCTCCCGCTCATTCCGCTGGTCCTTGTTGAACACGTGTTCGATGGGCTAGTACGCATCATGCTTGTCTTTGTTGGGGTCGTTGTCGGTAGGCTCTTGCTTGCTGAGATCAGCCTCGCGCGGAGCTGACGAGAAGCGTTCAACTCACCTAACATGTACCCTGATCCTTCTCGCAGTCTAGCGCGTCGGGTTCAGACGCGTCGACACGGATGCGGGTAGTCTACGCCTAGTCGTGTTTGTCCCGCGCACAATTATCCTCGGTGGACTTGTCCTCGAACACCCTCTCGCTGGGCGGGGTCGGCATAGGTGGATGCTTGCTTGCTGGATTCCGAATCCGCAGTCAGATCGTTGCATGCGGATTCGTCCTGGGCCGAGCTCGGGTATACCTATGGGTATCCCGAGCTCGACGGGCGAGCAGGAGCGTGGCCCGTAAGAGGAAGCGGGTGCAGGACAAGTGACGAACAGGTGGGCAGGCGAATAGGCGGGCAGTCGGGCAGGCGAATTGGCGAACGGGCTTGCAGATGAGCGAGCTGAGAAGAACCTGGGCGGGCAATGCATCGAGGACGGCAGGAGTGGACTGGCAAGAGTGGGCGGATGACAGAGCTAGTGAGAAGGCGAGGCTGAGCGGACGAGAACAGGGAAGCGATTGAGCAAGCGAGTGGGAAGGCGAGCAAGAAGGTAAGTGGCGAGCAGGCAAGGACGGGCATGCGAGCGCATCAGCAAGAAGGCGAAGGCGGGCGGGGGAACTGGCGAGAGTGGGCAGGCGAACAAGCTAGTGAGATGGCGACGAGGCAGACGAGCATGCGGGCGAATGAATTGGCGAGCGTGCGAGTGTGTAGGCAGACGGGTGGGCTAGCATTGGCAAGAGGGTAGGGGAGGGCTGGCCACATTACTGAGTGGAACTTGACCGTTTCGAACGGTCCACCCGGAGTGCATTTGGCCCGTTTCTAACGGTGTACCCGGGCTCGGCCGGAGCACTCCGGGTCTACCGTTTGGAGCGGCCGCCGCCAGCAACGAACCGGCCGGAGGGAGGGTGGTGGTTTGGAATGGTCCGGCCGGAGTGTTGGGTAACGTTCCGGCCGGAGCTCTGGTGAACGTACCGGCCGGAGGCCTTGAGAAATATGGGTTTCCTACGGTCCGGCCGGACTGTTATCCAACGTCCCGGCCGGAGCTCTGGTCAACGGTCCGGCCGGAGGCCTCGAAAGATTTAGGCTTCCTACGGTCCGGCTGGACACATACCCAATGTTTCGGCCGGACCTTTGATCAGTGTCCCAGCCGGAGGCCTCGAAAATTTGGGCTCTCAACGGTCCAGCCGGAGCACTCAGCAATGGTCTGGCCGGAGCACTCAGCAATGGTCCGGCCGGCGCACTCAGCAATGATCCGGCTGGAGGCCTCCAAAGATTTGGATTCTCAATGTTCCGGCCGGGACCGGGGGTTGGTTTCTAACCTTCCGGCCAGACCCCAGATGAAACAGTCCGGCCGGGCAAAATTCCACCTTCCAAACATCCGGCCGGAAGCCTTGCGGAATCTGGGCTGTAAACAATCCGGCCGGGCTAGTTTGTAATCATCCAGCCAGCCGGACCCCAGATGAACAGACCGGCCGGGCTTCTCCAAAACCAGCCAGACCCCTCAGAATTGATCTGCCGGTGATATAACAACAAGAATTGTTAACCCCCAAGCTCAGCTGGAAAATGACCAAGGTTGTATCAACCAAGCTCAATATTTAACCACCCACCGAGCTCAGAGTTGAACCACCGAGCCCAGAGATGAGCCACCAAGCTCGGTATCAAACCACCGAGCTCAGTAGTGAGCCACTGAGCACAGTATTGAACCACCGAGGTTAAACAGCTAGGCTCGGTGGCCGAGAAAAATTGGCCGGGCTCGGCGCCGAGGATAAATGGCCGAGGCTCGGGCCGAGGTTTCGAGCGCCGAGCTCGGGCCGAGGTTTCGAGCGCCGAGCTCGGTGAAAACCGCCGAGGTCAGTATCAAAGCATTGAGCTCAGTGTTAAGGGGCCCAGTTAAAGGGCCGAGCTGAGTGTTCAATGACCGAGTTTGTTGTTGAAGCACTGAGCTCGGAAATGGCCGAGGTTAAACCACCGAGCTCGGTGAGAAACGGCCGGGCCGTCAGATTGCCATATAAGGAAATTTGGTATCATCTGGTAGCCCTTCATTCACAGAGTACAGTATATGTTCCCTAGTGTACAGAGATGCCTAGTTAGGTCAGAGAATACAAAATAAAAAATGCTCACAGGCTTCTCTGAGAACGTACTATTCAACTCCTGAGGCCAGTTTTCTTTTCCCACAATGTTTGACTATCTAGAATGTGCTATTTCAATGCACAGACTACATCCCCAACAGGAATAGTCTTATTCTTTGAAGCTGAATGCAGGACAAGAGATAAGGGGCATATAGGTATGGGATATGCATGTCTGACTTGAATGTTGGTTCCTGCAGCCAATATTCTTTCCAAATAGGGTTTCACCATCTAGAGTGGTTCATTTACTCACATGGAGTAAGTGCTCCAAAGGAATAGTCTTATTCACACAAGCTGAATGCAGTACAGAGTTAAGGGAATCTGGTCTCATATGAGTATCACTCAATTTGAACAATGCTGATCATCACTTCTGTATCCATGCATGATATAGCTGAAGAGTCTATACATTGGACAGATGTGTCGCATTTTGCTCTGGCTGGCCTAGGACAGTGCACCGGCCGGACCGTTTGCTACGAGCAATGGCCGGCCGGACCATTGGCAATGAGCATTGTCCGGCCGGACCATTACCAATGGAGAGATGTTTATGTGGCCAGTGCAATGCGCATGGGTGCACATCACAGTTTGATACAGACAATCATTCAAAGCAGGCCCCATCATGACACAATAATGCATGTTCCCCTTAGCTCCATGCTCAGTTCAGCTAGGAAGAATAAGACTATTCTCTTGAGGACTTTGCTGTTCATGTTGGATTAAGCCATTCTAGTTTGTCAAACATTGTGGGCAAAGCATATTGGCTTTACAAAGTAAACATAGTTCACATGTATCCCACTCCACCCTTGACACCTTAACTCTGTACTGCATTCAGCTTGTGTGAATAAGACTGTTCCTTTGGAGCACTTACTCCATGTGAGTAAATGAACCACTCTAGATGGTGAAACCCTATTTGGAAAGAATATTGGCTGCAGGAACCAACATTCAAGTCAGACATGCATATCCCATACCTATATGCCCCTTATCTCTTGTCCTGCATTCAGCTTCAAAGAATAAGACTATTCCTGTTGGGGATGTAGTCTGTGCATTGAAATAGCACATTCTAGATAGTCAAACATTGTGGGAAAAGAAAACTGGCCTCAGGAGTTGAATAGTACGTTCTCAGAGAAGCCTGTGAGCATTTTTTATTTTGTATTCTCTGACCTAACTAGGCATCTCTGTACACTAGGGAACATATACTGTACTCTGTGAATGAAGGGCTACCAGATGATACCAAATTTCCTTATATGGCAATCTGACGGCCCGGCCGTTTCTCACCGAGCTCGGTGGTTTAACCTCGGCCATTTCCGAGCTCAGTGCTTCAACAACAAACTCGGTCATTGAACACTCAGCTCGGCCCTTTAACTGGGCCCCTTAACACTGAGCTCAATGCTTTGATACTGACCTCGGCGGTTTTCACCGAGCTCGGCGCTCGAAACCTCGGCCCGAGCCTCGGCCATTTATCCTCGGCGCCGAGCCCGGCCAATTTTTCTCGGCCACCGAGCCTAGCTGTTTAACCTCGGTGGTTCAATACTGTGCTCAGTGGCTCACTATTGAGCTCGGTGGTTTGATACCGAGCTTGGTGGCTCATCTCTGGGCTTGGTGGTTAAATATTGAGCTTGGTTGTTACAACTAACAATTCTTGTTGTTATATTACTAGTGTATCAGGGGTCTGGCTGGGAGAAGCCTGGCCGGTCGGTTCATCTGGGGTCTGGCTGGATGGTTAGAAACTAGCCCGGCCGGACCATTTACAGCCCAGATTTTGCAAGGCTTCCGGCCGGCCTGTTCACATTGGAAGTTGGGATTTTGCCCGGCCGGACCGTTTCACCTGGGGGCCGGCCAGACGTCCGAAACCAACCCCTGGCCAGGCTGAATCATTGCTGAGTGCTCCGGCCGGACCGTTAGTGATGAGCCCGGCCGGACCGTTGAGAGCCCAAATTTTTGAGGCCTCCGGCCGGGTCACTGATCAAAGGTCTGGCCGGAACATTGGGTATATGTCCGGCCGGACCTTAGGAAACGTAAATTTTTCGAGGCCTCCGGCCGGACCGTTGACCAGGGGTCCGGCCGGAACGTTGGATAACAGTCCGGCCGCACCGTAGGAAACCCATATTTCTCGAGGCCTCCGGCCGGTACGTTCACCAGAGCTCCGGCCGGAACGTTACCCAACACTCCGGCCGGACCATTCCAAACCACCACCCTCCCTCCGGCCGGTTCGTTGCTGGCGGCGGCCGCTCCAAATGGTAGACCCGGAGTGCTCCGGCCGAGCCCGGGTCCACCGTTCAAAACGGGCCAAA